AATAAATGGAAAAATGTTTTATTTTCCATAATAAATCAAGAAAAATTATTTAAATTTGGAAATGGTTATCTGTCAATCATTAAAAGTAAATATGAAAAATAAATTTTGGCATGATGTATTCCATGCATTGGACATTATCATTGATAAAGATGAAAACAATATGTGGGAATATTTTTTGTCAAGCCCACTGTGGATGAATAATTGTATAAAAATAGAAAATAAACCTGTATTTTATAAAAACTGGTTTAATAAAGGTATATTTTTCATTAATGACATTATATCAGATACTGGAAAAATTCTCAGTTTGGAACAGTTAGAAGAAATAATAAAATTGACAGAAATGTGATGAAATACAACAGCATAATTTTTGCTGTAAGAATGCAAGAAAGGGCTATGTTTTTGATAATTATAAACTAGTCACTCCATTTATTCCTTCATTTGCCAAGATTTTTTTTAAAAGCTCAAGGGGAACTAAAGACATGTATTCACTATTAATTAGAAATAATATAGTTTCAACGGGTCAGAAAAAATGGGATCAAATTTTAAATGTAGATGAAAATGAATGGAGATTAATTTTCAAATTACCTTTTGTAGTCACAAAAAATACCGAACTGCAGTGGTTACAATGTAGAATAAATCAGCATATTCTAGGTACAAATAAATTTTTGAATAAAATTAATGTCACTAACAATCCAAATTGTACATTTTGCCAAGAAGAAGTAGAAACTATTGTACATTTATCTTGGAATTGTGAAATTGTTCAAACATTCATTGATGAAATTGACTCATGGTTTTTTGTCGAGCCTGCTACTTTTGTCGCAGAAAGCTCGACATAGGGATAGCGATCCGGCGGCGGCGGCGGCGGCGTTAGCTAACTTCTTAAAAGCTTTATATTTTAGAAGATGGAAGACCTGGATGCTCCATACTTTGTATATGGATGCCTCATGTTACGAAGTTTCCGTCAGTCACATGTCCAATGTCCTTGACCTCATTTTCATGGTTCAGTGACTACTTGAAAAAAAAGTTCAGATTTTTTGTAATGTTAAATTCTCTCTTATTATAATTAATAGGATAACTATATTTGGTATGTGCGTACCTTGCAAGGTCCTCATGCCCGTCAGACAGTTTTCACTTGACCTCGACCTCATTTCATGGATCAGTGAACAAGGTTAAGTTTTCGTGGTCAAGTCCATATCTCAGATACTATAAGCAATAGGTCTAGTATATTCGGTGTATGGAAGGACTGTAAGGTGTACATGTCCAACTGGCAGGTGTCATCTGACCTTGACCTCATTTTCATGGTTCAGTGGTTATAGTTAAATTTTTGTGTTTTGGTCTGTTTTTCTTATACTGTATGCAATAGGTCTACTATATTAGGTGTATGGAATGATTGTAAGGTGTACATGTCTAGCTGGCAGGTGTCATCTGACCTTGACCTCATTTTCATGGTTCAGTGGTCAAAGTTAAGTTTTTGAGTTTTGGTCTTTTTTTCTAATACTGCATGCAATAGGTCAGCTATATTTGGTGTATGGAATGATTGTAAGGTGTACATGTCTAGCTGGCAGGTGTCATCTTACCTTGACCACATTTTCATGGTTCAGTGGTCAAAGTTAAGTTTTTGAGTTTTGGTCTTTTTTTCTAATACTATATGCAATAGTTCAACTATATTTGGTGTATGGAAATATTTTATGATCTATATGTCAGTCACGCAGGTTTTATTTGACCTTGACCTCATTTTCAAGGTTCATTGCTCAGTGTTAAGTTTTTGTGTTTTCGTCTGTTTTTCTTAAACTATAAGCAATAGGTCAACTATATTTGTTGTATGGAAGAATTGTTAGCTGTACATGCCTGCCTAGCATGGTTCATCTGACCTTGACCTCATTTTCATGGTTCATTGGTCAATGTTTAGTTTACTTGGTTAATGTGAAGTTTATGTGACAGTTGTAATAAAGCTTTATATTTAGGACTATCAACATAATGTCAATGATTAGTAAAGAAGGCGAGACATTTCAGCGTGTGCACTCTTGTGTCTAATGGTATAAGTGTTCCATTTACCATAAAACATTTTCTGTTTGGGGATATTACAAAATCATTTAGGGGGAATGCTGCAAATTTGATTTACTTGCAAATAAAACAATATATTTTCAACTGCAAATATTTTAAGAAAGCTTTAACATTGCAGGCAGTGCAAAGTAAAATAAAATCTTTATACAGCACTGAAAAATTAATTGCTGTTAAAAATAAAAGAGTAGATATTTTTGACCAGATTTGGAATGCTTTTGCCATCCTTTTCAGTGAATGATCAGTTATTTTTTACATTGTATATGTGTACATAAATTAATAGACATAGAATTTTCATATGATATATTGTCTCTTATATGAGAAAAAACTACATGATTTCATCTGTGCAAATAAATAACCAAAACAAACAAAACAACTTTTAATTTCTTTGAAATTCATCTGATTATCTATCTTTCAATTATTTTTTATTTTTGTTTTTTTTCATTATTTGAATTAAAAAAATCTACAGAAATATCTTATATATCTTTATATTTTACTACTAAAACAACACAAATTATATATTTTTCATAACCTGTGCATTTGTTATATTAGATAATTATATGTTTGATAATCTTAATGGTAAGCTTCTTTATTGATATTACTGACATGGTACATAATTTTTTTAATTATGGAAAATTGTATGTATAGTACTAACAAAAACTAACAGCTGTATAAATATGTTATTTACTAATGTTAACGAGGCCGGGATAAGGTATCGGTACTTGATGTTTTCCACTAACAAATGTACAGATTTCAATAAAATATGATAAATAAAAAAAAAAAAAAAAAGAAAAGAAAAAAAAAAGATAACTAAAAACTGCAAAATTTCCTTAAAATTACCAATTCAGGGGCAGCAACCCAACAACGGGTTGTCAGATTTGTCTGAAAATTTCAGGGCAGATAGATCTTGACCTGATAATCAGTTTTACCCTGTGTCAGATTTACTCTAAATGCATTGGTTTCAGAGATACAAGCCAAAATCTACATTTTACCTCTATGTTTTTTTTTTAGCCATGGTGGCCATCTTGGTTGGTTGGCCGGGTCACCAGACACATTTTCTTAAACTAGATACCCCAATGATGATTGTGGCCAAGTTTGGTTAAATTTGGCCCAGTAGTTTCAGAGGAGAAGATTTTTGTAAAAGTTAACGGACGACGGATGCCAAGTGATGAGAAAAGCTCACTTGGCCCTTTGGGCCAGGTGAACTTACAATATGAAACAATTCAAATTGGGAAAACTAACGACCTAATACATAACAAAACAATTTGCAAAAAAACAAGTATGACAGACATTAACCAACAACAATTGCTTACATCCACTTTATTTGAACTTCGGTGCATAGTTGTTTCATTTGCAATCATACCTCATAATAAACTTCTATTTTCAAACACATGTGCATGTAATCGTTACAATAAATCAAGAGAACAATCAACAGTCAAACTAATATATAATTCAAGTACGGACTGCAATCCGCAATACGCATAACCAAATAACTGGTTAAGGAGAGATAAATCTTACAGAATTATAACAAAATAGGAAAACGAACTTATTATTATGTGTTTTAACACAGGTTTTGTTCCGCAAAATTATTTGCGCAAACAACATTTTGGTCAGTTATAATTGTCTATTTTTAGATATGTAAACATAGAGAATTAGGGTCATTATGACATTTGACACTGTCATTATATCATTTGTTTACAGAGTGGAGTTTATCAGTATCAACAGCAATTAAGGAATCCCTTAATAAATAACAGGGCCAGTAATTTCAAGGAAGTATTAAAAACATGGTAGAGTACTCAGAACGCGTAAACTGTGCTACTTTTAATTTAAAACAAATAATGCGAGATAAGATTACATTACTATAGCGATGTGCGTAGTGATTTTACGATAATTTTATGAATGGACGATAATTTTATGAATGAACAATAATTGTATGAATGAACAAGAGCAACTTGACCTCTTTCAAAAAGAATCACTGATTAAACAACATAAAACTGTATTAGAGATAATTCAGTCAAATTTTCAATATTAAATCAACAACTGACATGATTCAATATTTTGTTGAAACATCTCAAGAACGAAATCGCAGGTATAAAAAGGCATTTTTTTTCACTCTGACTTCTATGTTCTTTGATAGTCAAACGGTTGTCCCCTTAATATATCTACAATAACATATGTTGAAACATCTCAAACCCCAATGTTTTTCAACTATTCCAATTAATGTATTTCATTAGAAAACATACATAGGAGTTTTAGAATTTAGAAAAACTTTGGCTTGATCTGGGTCACAAAGATGGCTATACGCCATAGCATGAAAACAATTGCTTTAAAAATCAATTGCATAGGGCCCAACTCATCAGATCAATATAAAGCAGAAAAAACATCTAACAAAAACACAGACTGGAAGTGGCAGGGTATTTATACATCCCCAACAACAAAAAAGACACAAAGTACATATCTGAGAGTACTCGCAATTACTGACAGCTAGTTCAAAGCCAATAACAACTAATTAAAAAAAATCATGTATCTAAGACTAAGATATCAATCAGTACACATCCAATATCCAATGGATTTAGTGAAAAGAGGTCATTAACAGTCAGAGAAAAACATGACCTTGTGCAATGCCAAAATAAGGTATCGACAGACTGTAGTACTGTGAAAGTGCATAACAATAATATTTAGTATGGTTTTAATTTACTGATAACAAAATCAATATTCATACCAATAAAACAATTTTCAAAGATCTAATTACAGCATTGAATTGAACCTTTTAGAATAAGTTTATTTAAAGGATTGATAAGTTTACCAGGATCATATCTTAATTTCCAGACTCGGTAAACAACATAAAATTTAGGATGTGCTATTCCATTTGAAAGAAGTTTTCTACAGGTACAGCAAAGCTTACTTCAAATTGCAAATTAAAAGTATTTGTAACTTACGGGACATCAGGTAACTGAACACTAAAAGATAACTGATTATCTGCTACAGCTCTTCTTCTCCTACCAGATGGATTCGTATACAGAACACAGGTTGCAGCACTTACAGTCAAGAGATTGACATTTGCACAGTCAGAACTACACAGCAGTGGATAAGTCTGTGCAAGTACTTTAAGTTGTATTACAATTGCTGTCTGGACAAGTGTCCTGTAGTTTTGTTTGGAAGCAGAATGGGTACAGTCAAAAGTTGCACGAAATACAAATACCATCTCAATAGAAGTCAGCAGTGGTGGAGCTGAAGTAGTCACTGAAACAAAAATCAAGGTATAGATTTATAAATTCATAAATTTGAACTTGACCTTCTTTTAGTCACAGGAAACAACATTTGAAATGATTTCGTCAATGCATGTGTTTTCAAGTTATTGTACTGACAACGCTCTAAGTATCCCTTTTCGCTACTTAAACAGTGCTCCAGCTAAAATTAAAAGGGGCAGGGTGCAGTGGAGGGCAGGGCACTTTTTTAGGTTAGAAAAGGGCACAGCTCAATTTTTTTTTTATTTGGTTTATTGTCCTGAAACATGAACATTGCTTGTTTTTGGCCCCTAATTACTAAACAGCTACAATATTACCCCCTAAAATCAATTCCAACCTTCCTATTGTGGTATGGAACCTTGTGCTAAAAATTCACAGAGATCCCTTCACTTATACTCAAGTTATTGTCTGCTAACTAAAATGTCTTCGGACGCCGACATCACCATAACATAATACAAACACAAAAATTTTGCAGTCATATAAAAATAGGTTTCTTCTTTTTAATAAAGTTACAATTTCTAAATTTCTCCATAAAAAAATCATTCTTCCTCAAATTAGATATCATTTACACATGTGGGTACCAATTTTCATGAATTGAGGAAAATTTACATTTTCGTGAATATTTGATTTCGTGGTTTTGCAAAAGTCTGCATAAATTCTTATAGAATATTTTTCGTTGACTATTGGAATTCAGGGTAACCAAGATATCCACAAAAATTGGTATCCAACAAATAATAATGAATCCACAGTACAAGATATTTGAAAATATACAAATGACAGGGTGTGGGGATGACCCCTGGGGACTAACCCTGCATAACATTCAAATCATTTTGACATGATGAACATGAATATATATGGTTTAAGGGTAGGGATATCAACCATTTACAAGATATTTCAACATTCTTAACTGCTGATTTCATACAGACTACAATACAAACACTTAAAGATTGTTCTAGAAGTACCTTCTGTTGGGTTTTGCTTTAAATTTGTGTGTTCAAGAAAAATCCAGAGATATCAAAACTCCTTGTTTTGATTTTACTGCATTTGTATTTGAATCCAGTCAACAACAAAAACAAATAACTGTCAAAAAGGCCATAATGTCAACAAATAGGACCATTTAAAGCCTATTCTTTATATATTTGAAAAAAAGTGTGGGAAATTCACTTTGATATATTTTTTATTACATATTTGATTTAATCAGGTAAAAAATAGCCTATATGTTTTTCATCAAAATTTCATTACGGGATCTAAACTGTATCGTATGCCCTTAATGAGGCCACTGATTTGTGTTGTTTTTGTTTGGATTATAATGTGTTTGTATCATAAATCAAAAGTGTCTACTTACATTGGCTTACATTTAGGAACACCTCTTTTTTTGTTTAGAATAATTATTATCACGTGCATTTTATTCTCAAGAGTGTAAAGCACGTTAAAGTTAAAACTTTCTCACACAGCATCTGTTTAGCTTCATACAAACATTTTGTTATACAAAAAATCCCACCCACGCCTCCCAATAGATTTATTGTAAATATTTCAATTACTACTTATATTTGATTGTAGCAAATGCATTTATTTGAACAATACTGCTGTGCCAGTTTGTTGTATTTTTCAGCTTCACGCTGTGTGAAAGATGTTGATGAATCAATGGACTTTGTTTACTGAGAAGATTTGGAGAAAGAAGTGTCGATTAAATGATGAAAAGACAGTTTTATTCCTTTAATGCTGATAAAACATTAGCAGTTTATGACCGACTTTTAATTTTGTCGTCGTTGATAAAACATTAGCAGTTTATGATTGACTTTTAATTTTCTCTTTGTTTTAATAAGACTAAATACTTTATGAATCTATGACTTTAAATTTAAGCTCATATTTTGGTTAAACAAAAAACTGGGAAGTCGCAGATCCTTTAGGGGGCTGTTCAGGGAGACAATAAACACACTTAGAACTGTCCCCCTCTGGTACATATCTCTACCCTACCGGCTCAACAGTGGAGGGTATTAAATAATTTCCCAAGGCTAACTCTTGTCATCGAGAGGAATCCCCTCCACTTCTGGTATCAGAAGGGAGGTGTCATCTCTGCAGTACACGTAATTCAGGTTGTTTGCATATAAAAAATCGGAAAGACTGTTGTTTTACAGAGGTTTGTGTAAACAGAGGGGGGTTCTCCGTCCAGTTCACTCTTGCACGTAGGAGGGATATTTTGAGACTTATGTTATCATAGGGTCCTCGATATGCTCTTGTCAATCCTTTGGCTATCAGGTTGTTTGTCTCCCTGGAACTGGTAAAACATTTTATCTGCGGCTTATCAAATATCCACACATACATATTTTTGTACATATACTTATTGTATTATTAGTAATAAATATTCTGTATTCTTTCTACACTTTGTATTGTTGGTTTTTTCAGCGCCAGAGGTCTGTTTATTAACAAGGTAAAGTAAAACTTACCTGTATTTTGAATACAAGTAGGAGCACCACCATAGGCAGTTGTCTGACCACTTGGACATTGTATACATTTTTCTGTTGTAGGGCGGTTTGTGACAAAACCTTGAAGACAAGCTTTACATCCTTTAATGGCAAAATCATACTCCTGACCATCAATACAATTCTCTATATAAAAAAAAATTATAAAAGTTAGTTTTCAATCTTTTAAGTACTGGTAAATATATCTGTCCCAATTACTTGACAGTGGTTTATTTGACTAATATTTGAATATCATAAGTGGCTAGTAATACAAAAAGTTCTTAAAATTGCTGTTAATTTTTAACTTACCAGTAGCAAAAAGAAAGCTATTGTTTCAATATTTTACTTTAAGTTATATTTTTTAAGCAATACAAATTATAACCTGCAATTTGCCTGCAGGCCGAGTTTAATAATATTTTATTTTCTAATGTTTCTACTTTTTTGGTCAATTACTAATGTTTACAATCTACCAATACCCACACACATTGGAATGATAACTTGCTTTGTACTATATGAAAGCTAATGATAAAATCCTAGAGAAATGATGAAAAATACCCAATGGCAAGAAGATATGACACCTGCTGTTTAAATGTCCATCTGAAGCTTAAAATGACCTTTGTCTATAATAACTGGTTTCTTATAAATTACAGCTTTTTGTCCCTTTCAGAATAAATCTAATGAAAATGCTTTCAGACAATCAGATAATATTTCTAGTAGTTTAAGGTGGCTGGGGTGTCTTCCTCCATCTTGGATTTTGAAGTAGCAGATAACAATTGGTCTAGATCTTTCATGAAATGTGCAAATTTTGAGAGTAGTATGTAATTCATGTGTAAGACTTTAAATGTTAATATAGAAAATTATGTGTTTTATCATATTTACTTCAACTTTGCCAAATAAGGGGAGATAACTCTGATAGAAAGGGAGATAACTCAGATAAAGTTATTTTATAATAGAAAGTGTTGTGAATTTACCTATTTTAATATTTAGCAAGAAAATAAGTCCGTTGACCCCATTTTTTCTTTTTCATATCTGAAAGCATGTTATAAGAGCTATTTTTCTAATTTTATCTTAAAATTTTATGCATCCCAGTGTAGTTTTCTTTTTATCACACAAAATTGGATTTTCCATGCATAATCTATACAAAATCTGACAATTTTGCATAACCTGTAGCATGAAAAAAAATCCAGTGACCCATACTTTTTATCATATTTTTGAAAAAAGCATGATAAAAACTTCATTTTGACAAATTATAAAAAAAATTCTATGGATTTTAATTAAGACCTTCCAGCCACCTTAATTTGACAAATCATGATCTTTGTCAAAGAAATATTGATGTATTTTTTTTAAAATTTGTGTTTTCATAGAATTTGCAAGCCTTTCAGGTTTGTTTATAACATGTATAATGTATATTTTCCAGGATTTCAAGACTTGCAAGTTCAATTGTGTCGTATATATATATATATAAATAAAAAGAACAAAATCCCAAAAGAATGTTAAGTAATACATTAAAAATCACAACAAAAATAACATTATGTTCGCTCACAGTTTCATGCTTCGTGGCCTACATCAGGCGAATGTAATTGTTGTTCCTAGCTACATTGTGAACAACTATGGTCTTATGACATTATAATAGTGGTAAAGGAAATAACTTGCATTACTCATAACACTAACTTACCTGTCAACTTTCACGATTTAGGCGTGTACTACACGATTTTGACCCTTTGTCACGATTGCACGATCGTGATCGTGAAAAAACCTCTAAAACACGATTTTGTGAAAATCTACACGAAAAATATGAATGTTCCCGATTTTGACCTGTTCCCAAGGGAAGACAATCGTGATCAGCCAATCAAATTCTGTGTTTCTCATGATCAAATTAATAAGGTCTACTTCTCTCTCCTCTCCTTATTATAGAGCAGAGTTTTTGTCAACCTTTAGAACTGTTGATTAAATTTTGTCCATCATACAAGTAGTCTAAATTGAGCCTAGAAAATGACTTAAATTAAAATGTAGGATTTTATTTTGGAAAACTTCAGACAGTCGCTTTTGAATTCACCGCAGTGTGGTCTTCTAATTTTACTATCAAATTAAATAACTTTTATGATGTAAGTCTATAAAAATGCGCTCTACCTAGAGCAGCTGGATACGACTACAGAGGTCGAACTCTGAACAATTGGGGCAAGTATGGACACAATATTCAAGCTTGATACAGCTCTGAATTTGGATAGTTATTAAATATTTGACACATTATAGATTTCTGACACAGAATAAATGTGGTCAGATAACTTAAAAATTTGAAATGGGACATTTAATCTACTAAATGGTCCAATATCCAAAATCTAATTCCATGGTTAGATTCAGCATGTAAAAAAAAAACCCATGAATTCAAACAAAGTTTAATTTTCGACCCTTTGGACCTTAATATGGACTAATTTGAAAACAGGGCCCAAAATTAAAACTCTGAATGCACAGTTAGATTCAGCATATCATAGAACCACAAGAATTCAGTTTTTGATGAAATCAAACAAAGTCTAATTTTGCACCCTTTGGACCTTAATGTTGACCTATTTAAAAAATCCAAATATCCAATATAGTAATACATGGTAAAAACCTCAAACAATTCAAGACTTTAAATTAATCCTCATTGAAATTGGTTAAAAGATTTGTATTTACTTTCAATTGAAGATTTCTTGCTGTTGTGCAATAATTTGCTGTTGCGCAATACTTAGTAAATCTGTTTACAAACTAAATATAATAATTTACACACCCTGTTTGGTGTGTATCTCCTGCCATATCAGTATTTGTTGTTTCTTTATATAGATCAGAAATGATTTATGTTAGAACCAGCTAAGCCAGTATTCAAAAAGTCTTGTTTTTGGCCCCTATTTGGCCTCTAGTTTCTTAAGGATTTTAAGGATTAAAGCCACAACCCACAAAATCGACCACAACCTTCTGTGTGTGGTATGGAACCTTGTGGTACAATTTCATGGAGATCCATTGACTAATACTTAAGTATTTGTCTGGAAACCAGAAAAACCTTGTTCCTCCCCCCTTTTGCCCCTTATTCCTGAACGGTTTGAGCCATAAAACCCAGAGTCAAACCCAACCTTCCCTTTGTGGTATGGAACCTTGTGTTTCAATTTCATACGGATCCATAGACTAATTAACTCAAGTAATTGTCCATTAACCAGAAAAACCTCGTTTTTCCACTCTTTTTTTGCCCCTAATTCCTGAACAGTTTGGGCCATAACACCCAAAGTCAATCCCAACCTTCCCTTTGTGGTATGGAACATTGTGGTACAATTTCAGAGAGATCCATACACTTATACACAAGTTATTGTCCGGAAACTACAAAAATACCTTTTTTGGCCCCTCTGTGACCCCTAATTCCTAAACAGTTGGGTCCATAACCCCCAAAATCAATCCCAACCTTCCTTTTGTACTATTGAACCTTGTGATTAAATTTCATAGAGATCCATTCACTTATAATAAAGTTATTGTCCGGAAACCAAATGTCTTCGGACAACGACGACGACATGATAGCAATATATGAACCCAAAATTTTTTGCGGATATATAAAAAGATAAGTCATTTTCGACAACTTGATAGCGGTGCACTCGACTTTTCCGTTAAGACGGTATTCCAATATTTCAACACTAATATTTAGACAGCTACATTCCCTATTCGTTTAAATTTAATATAAAGAAATAAATAAGTTTAAATAATATTTTGTTCTGTTCAGTGCTCTATTTTTGTTTACAAAATACTGATACATTGAAGTTGGGTTACCTTTATTGAAAACTTTTTATAGTTTTTCTTTTGACTTTTTGATATATATTATTGATTTGGATCTGTTTACACTTGTTGATTTATAGAATATAATGTATCTGAATTTAAATGAATCTTGAGTTTTCTGAAATAAACCAGTCTCCCAGAGGATCGAATTTGAAACCTGAATTGCTAGTACAAAACATTGTGGTATATATCTGTTATCGAAATTCAGTGAAGGCAACCATTGTCTTATCGTATTTTGGTTAAAGGATTAAAATAATTACAATTACACTGGTTGAGGTCTGTTGGTGTTTTGATTTTGTTGACAATTCATGGTACCTAAGTATACATGAGGGGAACGGTGATGCATAGACACCCGACCCTCCTGTTACATTTTTGGTGGCCAATGTGGGGAGAACTGTGAACAAAATTATTAGAGAGGATTAAAATAATTACACTTACACTGGTTGAGGTTGAAGTCTGTTGGTGTTTGATTTTGTCACGATACCCATTTATGCACAAGGGGAACGGTTATGCATAGACACCCGTCCCTCCTGTTGCATTGTATCTATTATTTATAGCCTATAATTAGCTTACCTGTGATTTCACCATACACAAATGTAAATATAGATATTACTTCGTTTATAAAACAAATAAAGACACAAATTATGGATGGTAGATATTTATTAACATAAATATTTCAGGACATTTGATTTATTTTAATAAACAAAGGATTTAAAAACTGAAAACAAATATGATCATTACATAACCAGCTGATCATTTTTACACATTCACATCGCGGTGATGTAGCTGAACAAAATCACTCCAACCTGTTTATACATATACATGATATAGCAGTGGTCAGGGCTAGTATCATCTCAGGATTAGGCCAATTAAAATTAATTGATAGATTTTCATCCCCGCCCGCCCCTCTGAAATCGTTCCGCCCCAATTTTTTTTATTTTGAAAAATTTACGATTTCCGGATTTTGTTCATTTTCGTTACCGGTAACTGTCGATAATTTCGTTTCATTAATAACATCCTGTTTCAAATTTTGGTTTTTGCATTTCTTTGTATGTTTGATTCGTTATACATGTATATACATGATAGAACCTTATTATTACACTTGCATATATGAAGAACAAGTCACAAGAGCGTTTCATATCTAATAAAAAATAAAAAATAAAATCCTCCCACCCACCCCATTTTTTTCAAAAATTTGGATGAAAATCTACTAATTAAATTTACTTGGCCTTAGGCCAACTTATTATTGCAGAATATTCAATGAATATACATTTATCGTCTAATTGAATATATCAGGTAATGGGATATTTTGTGCTGGCATTTTGAGTATAGGATTTGCCGGAGTCTACTGTATCAGTCAAGATGAAAATATTTAGCTTTTTTCAAATCTTATATCTAAATGACATTTCAGGAGATCGACAAAATTTGTATAGTCTTGTCATGCAGGGTAACAACTTTATATATCTTATGCAATATGGTATCAAAATTAGGTATTTAAATTGAGCATACTTATGCACTCTTCCTGTTTAGTAGATCTAGTAGTCTCTGTTGTGTAACCACTTGGACAGTTGTCACAAGTCATTTGTGATGATTCATTTTGGTATGTTCCCTTCTCACACACAATACAGCCTGGAGACCCCCTTCTGTAACCTGCATGGCAATCATCTACAAAAAAACCAGGAACTATTCATCATACTCTATGGAAATTTACAGTATTTTGATAATCAGATAAGTTGAAAATATTTTGCTTGGTCAATTTTGAATATCTAAATGACAATTCAGGAAGAAGACAAAATAAAGCCCTTGCAGAAACTTCAGGTACCAGCTTTTATGAGTGAAGTCTTCTGGTAAACACTCAATGTTGCCATGTGGTTTTGTAAATCATGTAAAATATGGTTAAAATCATTATAGATACCCTAATAATATTCAAGATAATTAACAAAAAATGCAAAATTTCCTTTCCTCCGCTCCAAAATTTATTTCACCCAGGAACTGTATAACTCTGAAAATGCCTTAAAATGTTTTTTTTAACACCCTTCAAAAAAAGTATTGGGCAAGGGTCTTGACCCCGACTAACCTGCCTGGTCTGGGGGGCATTCACCCAATATAAGTATGCTGAAAGAAAAGATATAATAATGGTTTTTAGAAAAAGTAACACTGAATAATTCTGAAAATGAAACATATCAAGGAGGAATTATTAGGAACCCCCCACCCCCTGAAAAAAAGTGCATCCCCCCCTGGAAAAAAAAATCAAGTCATCCCATTGTAGTCTTACAAAAGTTACTGAAAACCCCTTATCATTATTTAAATTAGTTTTCAAGTTGTGACCATTTGAAATTGTTTTTTTTACATTTTTCCCATAGATTTCTATAGTAAACACCTATATTCTATTTTGGGTCAGGTGAGCTAAAAATGCATAAAATTGAGAATGGAAATGGGGAATATGTCAAAGAGAAAACAACCCAACCAAAGAGCAGAAAACAGCCGAAGGCCACCATAGTACACATAAGTGTGTGAAAATTGTGCTTAGAAAATATTCTAGCTTGGGCACTATAGTACTTGAATAGACATGTAACATACATGGATTTTTTTCTCACTCATTAAATCCAATGTCTTACTCTAAATAATTCGTAAAAAATAAAAACAAGACAGTGTGGAAATCATTAGTATGTGTACAAAAATTAAATACAATATATTAAGCTAGAAAAAAGTTGAGCAGATAAACAGCACACCACATATTGATCAAAATTAACTTAAGTTCAGTTACAAGTGCTTTGGTGAATAGTTTATGCAAAAACAAAATCCTAACAAAATAGCATTAGAACAATCTAAAACAAGAATGTGTCCATAGTACACGGATGCCCCACTCGCACTATCATTTTCTATGTTTAGTGAACCGTGAAATTGGGGTCAAAACTCCAATTTGACATTAAAATTAGAAAGATCATATCATAGGGAACATGTGTACCAAGTTTCAATCCTGGATTTCTACCAAACTTTGACAGAAGCTTGTTTATGATCATAAGATAATATTCAAAATGTATTAAATTGGAGTTTATACATTTTTGTTCTGTCATCATCTTTTACCCTGTCCCATCATTTGTTTAATATTAGCAAGACCTTTGATAAGTTGATTGGACTTCAACTTCATCAAAAACTACCTTGACCCTAAAACTCTAACCTGAAGCGGGACAGACGGACGAACGAACGAAAGGACGCACAGACCGAAAAACAATATGCCCCTAGGTAAGGCATAAATAACTGTCATATTATTCAGTAAGATAATGAAGCAGAAGATAACAAATCTGAAGAGGGAAATTGTTGATTTTTTATAAACACAGTCAGCTTGCTCTTTTTGGTGATGACATTATGATACAGATATTCTACAAAGTAGATAGTATTTGGTCTTTTTTAAGGATGTATTCTTCTGACGTTTCAGTCTCGTTGAAATCTCGTTCTGGAATTTTTTCCAAAACATGTGATACAAGTGGAAAATATCAATGAATTTAAAAAATGTTATAATCAAACTTAACTCTGTGAAAAAACTGTGTAGTTACTATTATTGAGTAATAATTTTTTCAAATTTTATTACCAATCAAGTCAGTCTCATTAGCCAAAATATTGAGAAAATGGGTGAGGATTACAAGAAATGATTTTACCAGAAACATGTACATCCCATATCACTTTTTTCTTTTCAAATTTCTTAGATATGTATTTTTTCAATCATTTATAACAAAGAAGTTGAAATAATATGTGTATTTTGTTCTTAAAATAGAGAAAAATCACAAATTTACAAAATTGTCAGCATGGTAAATTTGACACGAAAAAGCATAAAAATATGATAAAACTTTCTTATATTAACACCTACCTATAATATTTTTAAGTTAAATTTATTCAGATTGGTCCACTTGATCTTTATTGAAAGTATGAAAAAAAGTTTAAATGTAGAACTGTGATTTTTTTCACGATAATAGCCCAAAAATGGATAAAAATTGATGAAAAATGGGAAAATCATCAAAATTGGGTACTTTCAAAGGGCCGTAGCAAAAAAATAATGGGAATTTAATGTATTAAATTGGAGTTTATACATTTTTGTTCTGTCCTCATCATCTTTTACCCTGTCCCATCATTTGTTTAATATTAGCAAGACCTTTGATAAGTTATTTTTGTCTACAGAGATAAGATAAGGATTTGACCAATCACATTATAGATATTGAAGGGATAGGTGGTCATTTTATAAAGCTTGTTGCAGTTTCAGCAGCCATATTTTGTTTCTCTGAGATTTAATTTGAATATTCTATTCTATTTGCTATTTGGAGTTATATAAATACAGAATTCGTATGTTATTTTAAACTAACATTCGTTCACTAAGTATAAGTGTTTCGTTTCCAGTAATTCGGATTTACGTTTTTAAACAATTCAGGATCAGCCACAAAGGTACTTTTTTAAGTTTGTGCTTCATAGTCTTGATAGTGCATCGTTTTTCTCCAGAGTTTGTAACTTTCAATTTATCATTAGGACGATTCTAAATTGGATTATATTTGTATTCTGCTTTAATTTTAAACCTCTGTTATTCGTCATCATGGGACCAATTCGTCGATCAGGGACAAGGACACACGTGCATTACGATCCGGAAATGCCTGAAAACTGGACTTTAATCAGATTAAGACAAGAACTTAACGCAAGAGGGATTAGAATTCCTCAAAATTCGAGGAGGATGGCATTGGTCAGGCTTTTACGAGATTCTGGAGAAAACGTTATTTCCGATGCGGGGAGAAACGCCGAGGGCCACGCTGACACCATATTGGGAAGTGCGCGATCCCAGAATTCCACTGCCACAGACACCACCATCAACGACCACGTGCACGACGCCTTATTAGGAAGTGCGGCATCCCAAGATGCATCTGTGGAGACAAACAATAGAACTTTAATAAAAATTGTTTCAAGGCTGTCTACAACAGTGCAGTCCTTGCAACAAAATGTGACAACACTAACTGGCCAAGTCAACACTCTAATTACCCAGAGAACAGTGGAAGCACGTGATGAGACAACAACAACGAGAACCGGAAACACGTAGATTCCTACTTTCGCTTCATCCGGAAGTCAAAGAAGTGAAGAAGTAAACAATGCCAATGGTCTTAATTTCAACCTGGAGACAGCCTACTCCGCTCTGAGAACTAACGCATTGCCAACGGCTGCAGCGGGTAGCGAAGAACAAGCTCTTAGGAACAATCGCTATGTTCAAACACCAAGAGGCTATTCAGCCAAGTCTTTGCCGTTTGTGGAAACAGTGACACCACAAGTAAGGAGAAGCATTATAACAGGTATGGACATCAACCTATCCTCTCTTCTTATCCCGTATTATGTGTGAATGGGTACAACAGACGGGGAAGAAAAGAATGAAACTTCCAGTTACCACACAAAACCTGACCCACGACTAAACAGATCTTTGTCTATTGGGGAGTTTATCCAAGCGTTTGGTATCTACAAGAACATTATGTGTTCCACGTTCCCCCACCGTAGGAGTGAGCTCGACACGTATGAGAGAGACATTGTAGACATGGCTACTCGATACCCTGGCAATGGGTTTTATGAATACCATAAGTGTTTTTCCCTCGATTCAGCTGCACATTTACGCTACAATAACATGGCAGTTGATTGGTCCATAAGGAACAATACATTATTCTGTAATATATTCACAAATATAAGGCCTAACACCTGTAATGTTTGCGGCAGTAACTTTCACACATCTGGATTTTGTTCTCTCACGCAAAGGTCATCCAGAAATAAAATTGATGATTCCCAGGATACATATGGTAGGGAAAGGGTTTTTCATTCTGGAAGAGAAATTTGTAACAATTTCAATGGATACAGGGGATGTATACTGCCACGCTGTAGAAATGCCCATGTGTGTTTGGCTTGTAAAGGAGATCATTCAAAAATCAACTGCCAGCAGACAAAAAACGAGTTCCAGGGGCCTCAAAAGAACGGGCCCCACACACAGAGGAGAAACTAGATACACCTCAAAATTATGACATGTCTGTCTCTACACCTGTAAATATAGATGTTTTGGAAAAAGAGTTATATAGACATCCTGACTCAGCTTTTAAAAATTATTTGATAAATGGGTTAAGATATGGTTTTCACACTGGGTTAAAGACTCTCCCATCAAAGTCTATTATTTGTAAAAATTTGAAGTCAGCATCTACAAATCCTATATGCGTGTCAGAATTACTTGAAACTGAAGTGTCGAAAGGATACCTCATTGGACCTTTTAATGATATACCTTTTAGCAACTATCGCATAAACCCCATTGGTTTAGCAGAACATAAATATAGTAAGAAAAAGCGCTTAATTGTTGATCTTTCAGCACCACATGAGGATGAGGACAATCCAAGTCTAAATGAACTGATAGATAAGGAAGAATTTTCTTTGCAGTATGTTTCTATTGATGATGCTACTCATATTATTAAGCAGTTAGGTAGAAAAAGTTGGCTTCTAAAAACAGATATTTGCGATGCGTTCAAAATTATCCCACTTAAATCAGAATTATGGCCTTATCATGGTATACAGTGGAACAAAAAGTTTTATTTTTTTAAGAGATTAGTGTTTGGGTGTAGATCAAGTCCCAAAATTTTTGATACACTATCCAGGGCAGTTTGCTGGATAGCTAGAAATAACTATGGTATTGTAAATATTTTACATTTGTTAGGTGATTTTTTAATTATTGTACCAAGAGCAGATAATGCTCATTTTACTATGAGCAATGTGTTAAAAAAGTTTTCATCTTTGGGTATTCCTTTGTCAACAAAGAAAACTGAAGGTCCTTGTGTCATTTTAGAATATTTGGGCATTTTTCTTGATACTATAAAGATGGAGGCACGTTTGCCTAAAGAGAAAATTGCAAGAATTCAAGAAACAATTGAATCTTTTTCTAAACGCAATACATGTACTAAAAGGGAACTTTTAAGTCTGCTAGGCCACTTAAATTTTGCAAGTAGAGTTATTTTACCAGGCAGATCATTTGTGTCTCACTTGATTAAGCTTTCAACTACTGTTAAAAAATTGTCACACCATGTACATATTAAGAATTGCAGATCTGATTTGGCAATATGGTCTCAATTTCTTAAAAACTGGAATGGAATATCCTTTTTCATTAATGACAACATTATTAAAGCTGCAGATATCCAACTTTACACAGATGCTACACCTAAATCGTTCGGGGGATTCTATCAGGGAAGTTGGTTTCATGGCGAATTTACACCAGAACTTTTAAATGAACAAACGTCTATGGCTTTCTTTGAACTGTACCCTATAGTGATGGCCTGTGCTCTATGGGGTCACAACTGGAGTAGAAAACGTATATTATTTTACTGTGACAATTTAAGTACCGTAGAGATTATCTCCAAAGGAAGATCAAAAATCCAGAGTATAATGAAACTTATGAGGAAGCTAACTTATCTTTCTGCTCTATATAACTTCGTCATTCATGCACAACATATTGCTGGTGTCAAAAACACTGTAGCAGACTCTATTTCTCGTTATCAGATGAGGAAGTTTCGCTTACTACAACCACTGGCAGATCGAGAACCAACACCTTGCCTGAAGCCATCCCAGTTAATGATGAGTTGATTCAACAAGTTGATGAATTATGGGAAGCCTGCCTTTGTCAGAGTACAAAGCAGGCATATATGACTGGTGTTAAATGTTTTCAAAACTTTATGGTTATGAATGGAAAAGACTGTTTTTTAAATGCATTGCCATATATAGATGAAAATTGTTTGATTTTTTTTGTTGCCTATTGTAAAAATTCGTTAAAACTAGCACATTCAACTGTTAAATTGTATTTAGCAGGTATAAGACACTATTTTTTAAAACAGGGTCATTCAGACCCGCTAGCAAATACTGTTCGTTTGCAGTGCATTCTAAGAGGTTTAAAAAAGTCTCAGTGTAATATACGTCCTAAACGAATGCCTATTACTTCTTCGATTTTAAAAGAACTATGTAATTTGTTAAGATCTGGGGTATTTTCTCCATTGGTTGATTAAATGCTACAAAGCGCATTTAATTTAGCTTTTTTTGGATTCCTCCGATGTGGAGAATTTACTTGTCGTAGTAAAGACTTTTCTAAGGATACCATTGTTTCAATTCAAGATATTTCTTTAGATGTGTCACTAAAAAATTTAGTTTTCCATTTACATTCTTCTAAGTGTGATCCATTCAGGCAAGGTGTAAATATTACTATCTTTGAAAACAATGTTTTTCACCCTGTAGCTACCTTGAGAAAATATATCAAATTCAGAACTGATTCAGGAGCTAAGCCTCAGTCGCCTTTGTTTGTTAACGATGATTATGACCATACTCCCTTATCAAGGGATCGCTTTATTTCTTTGCTGCGAGATTTACTTTTTAGACTTGGGTATAAAGATGATAAATTTTGTGGGCATTCATTTAGAATAGGAGCAGCTACATCTGCAGCTGCTGCAGGAATTGAAGACCACATTATTCAAACTTTAGGTAGATGGTCATCTGATTGTTACATGCGTTATATTTGAACCAACCCTAAAACTATACATGCAGCTCAAGATAAAATGTGTTTTTAAGTGAACATTTCTCTTAGTAGATTTTATACATCATTTCATATTGTTTGTACATAAATGTGAGGTTAAATATATATATAATTTGTATTTTTTTTTAAAGGTACTATTATTCATTGTTTTTTATCATATATGATGTATCTTTTCTTGGGGGCTTTCACTCATTAATTTCGCTCATTTTGGCCAACATAATTTCAGGGAAATTATTTTCCCCCAATTCATTTATACATATTTAAAATTATTAAGTACATTTGTACACCTGCTGGCATCTACCGCAGGATCTATTGTTATTCGCATTAGGTAACCTGCTGGCATCTACCGCAGGATCTATTTTTATTCACATTAACCTGCTGGGATCTACCGCAGAATCTATTTTTATTCACATTCACCTGCTCGGATCTACCACAGGTTCTCGAAATTAGTTTTGTCTGCTCGGATCTACCACAGGCATAAGTAATATATATTTTTTGTATGTTTTGTCTGCTCGGATCTACCACAGGCATAAGTAATATATATTTTTTGTATGTTTTGTCTGCTCGGATCTACCACAGGCATAAGTAATATATATTTTTTGTATGTTTTGTCTGCTCGGATCTACCACAGGCATAAGTAATATATATTTTGTGTATGTTATTCGTCAGAAACTGTAATGAGTAGCCCCCTAGAAAGCCAAATGTTACATCAAGGTATTAATATGTAAATGTTTTACTATTAACTATGTTTTTTATATTATATGAAAATGTTTTAGTCCTTAGTGAGTTTTAGTTTTTTGTTTTAATAAATAGTTTAGTTTTATATCTTATCTTTGTTATATACAGTTAGTAATTGTAGTTTTGGTATATGTTTGGTTTGCCAAGATTATTCAGGACCACAAGCGACAGTACACACACCCTCATACATACTGGTGCCCTTAGTCGTAAACGGAATTAATCTTATTGATGATATATTTTGGTTGTTTTTTATTCAATGATTAAGCTAATAGATATAAAAAGATTTGGTATGAGTGCCAATGAGACAAATCTTCATACAAGACTAAGTCCATCATAGTACCAAACATACAAACTCTAACAGAGTTCTGTTTAAGTAGGGTGTTTTCTAATCTGGAGAATTATGTATAAAGTGTACCACCATATGATTTTTTCTTCACCAATTATACTTTAGTCATATAAACCCAAAAATCAGGTTAAGAAAAAAAGTTTAATTCTAGAAATGTTTGGCTCCTCAGAGGTGTACATCTTTAAAAGAAAATTCATAATATCTCAGTCTTGTTGAGGTATCTAGCAATAAAATGGTCACATAAATCATATCTAAACTTTTACTTTTCATAGTTTTAAGAAGTAAGAGTGTCACAGTCAGAATGAATTAAAATGTAATAAAAAATTAGTGTTTGTTACTGTATGATAGAGTAGTAATTTCAAAGTTAGAGGCACAAACTTTTAGGCAATTCAATCATGGAATAAACTATGTTAATTGACAAAAACAAGTGTTCAGTTTGCATATTTCTGTTTCAAACCAAACCCTTGCTGGCATAAAAAGGGGGAAAATGCTTATGGTAACAAAGCTTTGCTGATTTAGTTTTGCCAAAACTACATATTCTAAAGTAGACTGTAGAACATGCACAAGAGTAACAAATTAACTATAAAATCTTACCAATATTACAATCAATTATTGTTGTGGAATTTGCATGCTCTGTTGTTTTATTTACTGGACACTTCTGACAAGGTTCAGCATTACCACTTGTATTCTTGTAAAATCCAAGAAGACATCCACCACACACTTTCTTGTTTGAATAAAACTCAAACCCAATAGGACAAATTTCTAGAAGATAACCACAAATAACTTTATTAGTGAAGAGTTACAAATTCTCAATCACCTAAAAACATTCTCATCATGAAGGTGAACTATTCAACGAGTTGCTGTCCTTAAAAAAGTAATGCAATACATGAACCTGATTGGTTGTTTGGTTTTAAAAACAAGAGAATATGTAGATACATGTTTTATATGAGAAGAAACCCGAGATGGATTTTTGATTCTGTTCAAAGTTCAAGAAAAAACGATGGTTTGATTTGAAAAGGGGCACAATTCTTATTTAATGAAAATCAAAATCCTGATAATAAACTAAGCTTTCATATATGTAAAAATCTCTACATAGTACAAATGTTCTAGCGTGTAATCTGCAGAAGTAAGCCACAGAAACCATCTATCCCTTATGCATAATTTCACCAAAATAAAAATGACAAAGATGGAAGTATGATAAGAGCCATTATTTGGCCACTGAAATTGCAAAAATAGCTAACTTCTTCAAGCCTTTTAAAATTTTCTTTATTTAATGGTAGATGAACAGGTCAATATGTGTTCTACAAGGATCACCAGTTTCCCCTTTCATCTGATACCTTAATTACTAAAATATATTCTACATAGTTTTAAATTTACACATATTCTTAGGAACTACTTTGTTTTTAATATGTACTACTTTCCAGTATGTTTTTTTTTTACTTGGCCCGATTTTGTGGTGTTACATCTTTAATACAAAGTCTATCCAAATTATTTTTGCAAAGAATTCCGCTCAAGCCGGTGCTAGGGGCTGTCTAAAACTTACAGAGAGGTGAGAAATTTTTTTGTTTTTTTCACTGTGTTGAAGGCCTCACTGTGACTTTGAGAACAAGAACAGCAATAAAAGTTCCGTTCCTTTGCTTTTTTGTGTATTTTTTTCTGTGTGTGTACTGATTTTGTGTCATGAATGGATACCACATATCCTTCGTTTTTTTTATTAATATAAACTTGAGTCTTTAGTGCAGAAAGGTCATCGTGTGATGTCACTATGATGTCATAATTTAGTATTTCAACTAAAATGGCTATTTCAGGCATAGTTTTTGGTCAACTTCCTGTCATAAGTGGAAAATTACTAAGAAGGTATGCAAATCTGAAAGCACTAGTCTTTACTTATTGAGAAGAAATCACCACAGAGTTAGTATGTATTCAAATTTATATTTCCATTGCTTAGCTATATTAAAATTTGGCACAAGATATTTAACTTTGTCAACTTTTAAAATATCTGCATGTAACCATTAGAAGTAATCACAGAAGTAATTTGGTAGACTCAACGATTTTGTTAAATTATAATCAACTTTTGCCTTATTAATAAAAGAACAGAGTTCCAATGTCCCCCACGTTGCACATATTTTATCTATACAAGGTACAAGGGCAATAACTAAAAAAAAAAAACTTTTTTTTTTGTTCTTAAAAACTTATTATAAATATCTAAGATAAATGAAGGCTTCAGAGCAGATGCAATGCGATTTCTGTTATAATTAATATTTCCAAGGGCATAACTCGTAAAAAATATTTGATCGTCACTTATTTTCAAAAGTGTCAAAGACATTGATGATATAAACCTATGATATAAGTTTCATAAAAATCTGGCAAGTGCTACTGATGAACTTACGGTAACAATCAATTTCATTTACTGTTCCAGTTGAAGCTGTAGTGTACCCTGTATCACATGACAAACATGTGGTCTTTCCATACTCTGGCTGGTATTCCCCAACCATACATTTCTCACAGTTGTTAGTATTTGTAGTTCTTTTATATCCAGGATTACAGTATTCTGGAAAAAAAATTGTGAAATAATTTATTTCATTATTCAGGCATTCTGACTGGTCAATAGTATATGACCAAATAAAACTAACTGTTGGACATAATCTCATTAACCTGGACTACATTTTGTTAATTTAAATGTGTGTATACACAAATATGTAAAGGATTACAAGTAGATTGTACAAAATATATACCACTCACTTATAGAACATCCATCTGCACTGCTTGTTCCATTACTACTTGTTGTTTTGTCAGCATCACAATCAATACAATTGGTATTACCAACATCTGATTTGTAGGTCTTTATTGGACATGATTCACACTGATTAGATGTGGTGTTTTCAAACTTTCCTGGTTCACAATACACTGTAATAGATTATAATAAGTTATTTTCCCTCAGGTATTACAATAAATTAATTACCATTTGTTGGATACCTATTCATGATGATTTCACTAAGAATACCTAGGTAACTATAAAATCAGGGGTGTTCAATAATACAAACTTGTATGTAGAATTTGTAAAAGCCATGAAATCAAGTATACTGTGAGAACATTCAATTTTTCTTCAATCAATGAAACAAAACAAAGTTCTTCAATTTATAAACAAAATGCACACTTACATCTCAAGCAGTTGATGGCAGCTTAACAAACAAAAAACAAGAAGAAATGAGCTGTCTAGTTGACAGCAAAACAGACCATGCGGTCATAAAACTTTTGAGTATGATTATCGAACTCAGACTCAGAATCTGGACCAATCAAAACACAGAATTTGGTGTTTCAAGCACAAATTTATACTCTTGAGTTCTGTTAGAGTACTGAGTAAAGTTTTATGACTGTAAGCCCAGGGTTTCTGTACTTTGAAGGTAACATTATTAAGAAGGCATCTAGTACCAATAAAGTTGATGCGTTATAATTTTCGAGCACTTAATGTTTGACTTGACACTGTGTCTGTCCAGACATTAATACCATTTTCAAATGTATCAAGGACCATAATTCCTGAAGGGCATAAGTGAAAATAGTCAATATCCATTTCTTCATCAATAACATCATATTAAAATTTGAAAAGCATTGGTTGATCGGTTCATAAATAATTACATGGAAATTGTTGTCAGCCACCAGCCTTGTTGCCATAGCTAAACAGAGTGATGTAGACAGTGGGAACACCGATAATGTGACATATATACAGTCTGTGCCAAAGCACTTGCCCATAGGGCTAGTGGAATAAAAAAAAATCTAGTCCGAAGTTATGTGTACTAGACCTAAAATAATTTGTGTCACTGGTGAGGATCACTAAGTGAGCCGAACATGCTAGGAGGGTTTGGGGGCATCCACCCCCCTCCCCCCAAAAAAGATTTTGGAAAATTAGACGTAAAATCCTGCATTCTGAGGTTACATTTTTGTATCTGGAAGTGAATATAACTTATCAAAAAAATGTTGTTTTTTTCTCAAGGTCAGATGAAAAATTCTCCTTTCCTCCAATAAAAAATTAATATAGTTCTTTTGCAAAACATAAACATGATAATCTTGTACCATTTCAAGTAAAATGAATTGGCTAAAAAATCCACATTTTTGCACTTAAAAGTAATCTATTACTCAACTGAGGGATTGTTACTTTTTTGGGAAAAATTCCCTAACTGCTATTATATTTAGACTGTGTATCTCTGGCCTCCAGCTATCATATTAAGACTGTATCCGTCCTGCTATTATATTTAACTGTGTATCCCTGGGCTCCAGCTATCATATTTAGACTGTATCAGTCCTATTATATTTAGACTGTGTATCCCTCCTGCTAGCATATTTAGACTGTGTATCAGTCCTGTAATCATATTTAAACTAATACTTACAAACATTACAATCCTGTTTATTATCAGATCCAGGTCCTGCAGTTGTCCATCCAGCATCACAAGACTGACAAGTATTACCATTTCCACGTTCATCTTTATATTTCCCAACTTCACAAGGAACACAGTTTCCCATGTCCATATATAAACCTCTATCACAAAACACTGAAAAGCATAAACATTTGTGTTTAAAAAAAATTTCATGAGGAAAAATAAAATTATATGTGCGAATATATTAAAAATGTCCCCTTCTTCTACCGAATTCCATGTTGGAAATCTCCATCTGTTATTCATCACTTGTACACCAAAAAACTGCTCAATATCTAAAGGAATAATGAAACAAGTCATGACAATCATTTGGTTTCAAAAAGACTGACATTAGGCCACATCAATTTGATTTTTAGTTCTTTGGACAAAAGCTCCAAAAAATATGGGGCGAGCGAGCGAAATATTTTTGATTGTATTTATTTCTTGAAAATTAGTTTTGTTGAGGCGGGTGCTCTACAAGTGGAGCGAGCGGTAAATTTTTTTTTTTTAAATTGTGCGATTAAGAACTTTATGTACATGTTAAAACTGGGTTACTTCATAGAAAAAGGAGGATAAACATGCTCTTGCGCATATAATTTGATGTATTTGTGCCTGTAGTACAGTCTGTACCATATCCAACTTTTTGGTTCGCTTTGGTTTAGTATAATTTAAATAAGCTTTGACTGTGTGAATTTTCATTTAAATTCATACATGTGTCTATATTAAGGAAGCATATCAGATGCAGTTTAGCAAGAGGAATTATGTTAGTTAGGTAAATGAAATGTGTTGAATACAATTAAAATATGTGTATGTATTCCAAAAAATGCCCTTGCAAAATATTAAATATCTTTTGATATAGTTGTTTTCATTATATGGTTATGATTGTTTATTGGCTGCTTGACATCCAGTTGAAACTATTTATCCATAATAGGATCAACATAATGAGTGAGGTGAATATTACAACAACATCCTGAGTAAGATAGTTATATTGCTATGTATGAAGATCTCAATGTCTTAAAACATTCCCTTAAAATACATTTAACCACATTCACATGCATTATTCTGACTTAGCAAAATACTTTTTTCCTTTTGCCACTGAAACCTGCAATGTATTTCAAAATGGAAGTGGTTGCATCAATAACACATCCCTAATTATTATTAGCATGCAAATCCCAATACCACCACTTTGATCTCGAATGTTGGAGCTCTTAAATTTTCCCTTACAAAAGAGTTCTGATTGCATGTCAATAGACTAACAAGGGGATATGGAGTTTTCATCAAAATAAGATAAATCTGTCATTTTTCAAAAATTCATGTGAATTTGATATTAATTTCTTCCAAGACAGATAGCTCTAGACAAATATGTCTGTTGTAGTCCGAGATTACTTTGACGTCCAATGGCTGTTTTGCCAGACAAGCTGGGGCCGTCGGACAACAGCCCCCCATCTTGTCTGGCAAACAGCTGTTGGACGACAGAGTAATCTCGGACTGTCTGTTGAAACAATGATCGGGGATGACAATGGTTCTAACAAGTACTGATGTGATCGTGGTCATCTAACGAAAGATTTTTTATTTTTGTCTCCTAGAACAGGTAAAACGTAATGCTTTTCAAATAACTGTGTGTTTAATAACTACGTGTCCTCGGCAATGGTCTGACACAACTTCATGTTGGCATCCCGATTTTTGACCTTTTATTTACAAATCGATTTATCACACGTGCGTTTGATTATGCACGAGAAAAATGTCTAAGAGAAAAAAAAAATGTCAAGGATAAACTAATTTTGGAGCGGCATGCGGCCCATATATTCAAAATATAAATTTTTTTTTTTTTAACTTTTTACAAATTTTTGTCCTGAAATTTATTTTTTCATTTTTTTTTGTTTTTTGACATTTTATTTTTTGCCTTTATTTTGGCAATTTTTTTATTTTTTGGCAAAATTTTATTTATCCCGGGGTGAACAAGGGAGGGGTGTTATTTAAACCGGGGTAATTAACCAATCAGATTGCAGTATTTTTGCTGCATAAGAAATAAGAATATATATTTTTAATATTTTATTACTGCATGCTCCTCTGTGACTTACTTAACTAAATGGTCCCTTAGTCTGTACCAATGAAGAAAGTTTACCTTATACTTTAGTCAAGCGTTAAGTTAGCCACAAATTTCAGATGAAAATGCCTGTACTTTATTATTGGAAATTTACTTCCATACATTTGTAGCTAGAAATAATTTTGGATATTGTAGTACATGTATATATTCCTAGAACTTTGATCATATAATAAATATTTCTAGAACTTTTAATTATCTAATAACCATGATAACTATTCCTGAAACATTTATAATATAGCCAATATTCCAATATGCCTGAAACTTTTATAATATAACAAATATTCCTAGAACTTTTTATAATATAACAAATTCTCCTGGAACTTTTATAATATAACAATTAAATATTCCTGGAACTTTTATGATATAAAACATTGTCCATAATATTTATTCCAAAGAACTTTTAGCATATATATAACAAAAGTTCCATTGGGAACTTTCCTAATGTAATATTTTATCCTTTGTGAAGGAAATTTTCTTAAAATATTATATAAGGAAAGTTCCCAATGGAACTTTTGTTATATGCTAAAAGTTCTTTGGAACAAATATTATGGGGGAACTTATATTCTGTCACAGTCCCATCAATGGTAATCATACATCTTCTTCTTATTAACGTCTCCGAGGAGACGTTATTAAGAGTTGAATGATGGACAGTCTGCGGGCTGAATGCTTCTTACTATCTGATTGGAAGATATTGCTGACTCTATCCAGGAACATATATACTGTTCCCAGCTCTATCATAGCTAACTTGTGTTGATTGGTTGGGACAATTCGAAACCTAGTAAATGTCTTTTGATCCCATTAAGTGTCATAATTGAACTCTCTATTTTAGCAATTAGATTTTGCCTGGTTACTAATCATGCAAATCTGTACACAGGTAACACTTATCTATAAATAGACGAAACTACTGAAATATTGTAAACAACATTCTATCCAGTTGCTCACTGTTACGTACATCTTGTACACGAAAGCATACTTATGAAAACATTGTGCTTTTTTCTTAGCCTAGATTATAAATATTTATACTTAGTAAGATAATCCAAAAGCAATAATAAAAAAATGACTAAAAGGGAGATATGTTCGATTAAATATTAATTTAAACGGGAATGTCTCAGTCTGGTAAAAGGAAAATACTGTAAATTCAGAAATTATTGCGATGTTTTTATTATTGCGAAAAATGCAACAGGGTTATAATCACAATAATTTAAACTCGCATTTTGAAATTTTTCATATGAATTAAACAGGATTTTTCACAATATCGCAAAATTTCAAATCGCATTCTAGTCCAAAATGACAAAATCGCAATAATAAATGCACGCAATAATTTCTGAATTTACAGTACCCTAGCGATAAAATATTTTACAATTAGTATGTCTTCACATAGCTATGATGCATGGTTACGCTATTTCATCATATGGGATACATTGCTTGACAAATATATAAAGCATTTACGACAGTGATTTTAATTGCATTTGAAAAAAGTATCGACATCTGATTAGTTTCAGATTCAATCTTCAACCTTGACTTAGCTTAAATATCACCTAAATTTCTCGACCTCATCAAATATCATGAAGCTTAAAATAGGCCTATTCTAGTGGCTCGTCCCTACCTCTCATTACAAAATGATAAGTATGATAAATGTATGCCATCATATTTCAGCAATGCTTAATTTCTATGAATGATTTTAAAGGAGATATGAAGTATACATAATTAGTTTAGACAGCAACCCAATTAAACAACAAACAAAACAATTTACTTCTAAAATTCAACCTACGGTCTTCTACAACGGACATGTCATTACAATATTTTAAGTTTTTAATCCTCCCAAGTCTAGCTATGATATATAGAATAGCTGTGAATACATGTAAAAAAAAAAATCTTAATAGCAAACAATGAATATTACTTAAAACAATGAGAAGGGTCAAGAACAAACTTCTAGTAGTCTTTATAGGTATTTATTTTTATGTGTATTTAATACTTCTGTCTGTTTTGTTATGATCATATATTTTTGTAATCTATATGTTGTAAAACATTTGGTTAATAAAGAATTGAATAGTTGTTTTGAGGTTTATTGACCATTCATACTATATATATGTGCTATATGAGAGAAAGAGAAATAAAAGAAAATTATAAATTTCAAATACGAAAATACTTAGGCCGGTGACCAAAGTCGGAATTATAAATTTTAATGGTCAAAAATAGTACACGGCTATATAATATACCATTCGATTCTAAAATATGTGCACTTTGAGATTAATTTGGTCGTCAAAAGAAAATATGGTGCAGATTTTCAAAAATCAATATCAAAGGTCACATGTCGTTTTCAAGGAAAAACAAAATTGAATATCTAATTCCAATTTAAATACTCTTTTAGCAGTAGAATGATTGAAATCTTGAATCTATCTTCTTCCTTATTCAATTTTTCATCAATAAAGAGGATACTCATCATTAAATGAGAATTCCGATTAAACGTATGCGACTTTACAAAAAGGGGGGGGGGGGGGGGGGGGTTGTTTTCAGTTTAAAAAGATATATCTTTTTCAAATAATAAGTACAAAGGCCGTCAAAACTATACAAAATGTAAAGAAAAATATGAAAAAAATATGTATTTGTTAATATAACTATCTAGTTTGACCCATTGAAAGTGGAAACTTGAGTTTAGGGCATAAACGTTGAATTCGGTACATGCAAACTGGCAACAACAATTATTTCAAAACAGACTTATAATTGAGTTTAAACAATGTCATGAGGTTTTGTATGAAATAAAATGTATTAATAAGAATAAAAATTATTATAAAATAAACTAACAACTTTAAAGAGACATTTTAAATGATAGAACTGCCTTTTATTCGTTTAAATATTGAGAAAGTTTCGGTTATTCAATCCCAAACTAAGTGACACCAGATAAGAAATGTTCTTATATGCCGGATGGTTTAACATTGCCCTAAACATACGTAACTGTAATAAGTAATTCAGATCTCAAATGACTTTTGTATTATGGGAACGTTATTTCAAGGTTCTGACCTTTGGCTGG